ACACACACACACACACACACACACGATGCTATATGCATAAGGGATTTAATATTTTATATATATAATCAAATCCTTGAAATTGCCCTTTGTATTAATCAGGGTTCTTTATAGAAACAGAATCAATAGTATGTGTGTGGGTGCGTGTGTGTGTGTGTATATATATATATACACACATATATATAATATGTGTGTGTGTATATATATAGAGAGAGAGGGGGAGACGGAGTTTATTATAAGAAATTGGCTCTCATGATTATGGGGGCTGAAAGTCTCGTGATCTGCCATCTGCAGCTGGAGACCCAGGAAAGGCAGTGATGTAGCTGCGAAAACCAAAGGGTCGGTGGTGAAAGACCCAGTCAAGAACAGCACAGGGGGCTGATGTGTCAGCTCAAGCAGTGAGGCAGAGGGTGAAGTCACCCTCTCTCTGCTTTCTGTTCTATTCTGGTCTCAATGAATCGGATGACGCCCACTCACACGGTGGAGGGCCACCTGCTTTGCTCAGTCTGCTGATTCAAATGTTAATCTCCTACAGAAACAGCCTCACAGGTACAGCCAGGACCCATGTTTACTTTGGGCACCTCATGTCTAAGTGAATTTGACACAAAAGTTATCCATCACACCCAGAGTTCTTAATCAGAGTTTTGATGACTGAGGCCAATCCCGGGCCGCTAATGTTCATCCAATATTGCATCTAGTTTTACCATCCCTTCTGTTTGCCAGAAATAGAAACAGAAAATGTTTTACATGTTTGCACCACCAAATCATGAATAAATCATCAAATGCCATTTTGATTATTGACCTTCTAGCTTTTACAAAACACAAAACTTCACAACTAAGGATACTACTGGAAGCCAAGGAACCTAGAGACACACGCAAATTCTCACTAGAGCACCAGCCTCAGTGTCATCTTTTGCTCGCTGCAATCTGGAGTTGGAACGCTGGACCCACAGAAACTGATGTAGAGGCAGGAGACCTCCGTGGTGCAACAAGTCCATGACCATGACCAGGACTTTACCTCTCCTCGATGCATAAAGTATTCCTATTTAAGAGTAAATTTCCTCTTGTTTCAGGGAAAGATATTGGCAACTGATATTTTTACCTTCAGCCAACACATAAACAGTGAAAGTTATCCCAAACATTGCCATTTTCAATGTCCAAAGGAGCTTCCGCTAATCTCAGAGGCATCTCTATGGTTTATTTGTGTATTTAATATAGAAGGCAGGTCCTAATATCTCCAATTTACAGAAGAAGAAACTGAAGTTCAAAAGATCAACAAGCTTACCTGAAGTCACAGGGCGGGAGAGTAAAGGCGCAGAATTTTCAGCCTAAGTTTATATGATTCTGAAGTTTCCACTACCTTGCTGCTAAAAGAAATTAATCAACTAGTTCTTCCTGTTCAGGTAAGTCAGTTCAGACTTTGATAATTCTGAATAAAGAAGACAGAAGTGATGATACTGTAACGATTTGACAGGGACTGTGTTAGATTAGAGATGAGAGGCAAAAATATGACCCTAGTATATTTGTTTTCATTGATGTCAATGTCGTCTTTAGGTTTTTGTATATTTCTTTCTGATTTTAACATCTAATATGATCCTTTTATTTATTTTCTTCTTACTTTCCTCTGCTTCCGCCTTTCTCTGTCAAATTGTTTTCCTCTTCCTCCCCATTTTAAAAATTCTCAAAATTTGACTATAAATTGCTTTTTCTTCTTTGCTCCTTTTCACAGCTCTTTCATTGCCACAAGGCATTCAGGTAGGAAAAAAGGCCAAGGTTGTCTGCAGTGTGCTAGCTATTTACCCAATTGACCCACCATATCTTTTATCTAAAAAAATAAATTAACAAGTTATGTAAATAATTTACATCCAAATATTCAGAAGTGTCTTAGACATGTTTAATATGCTACCAGTAAACTCCTTTTAGGAGGAGACCACATGCAACTTTAGAATAGAAAATAGAAGAAAGGAAAAAAATAAACAAATGAAGGTTTTTCTCTGCTCTCTTTATGCCAACAACGACATATTTCTTGAACTCTTCCCTTTGTGGCTATTACTCAAAGACAATAAAGAAGAAAAGCTACTGGCTTTCTAGTTTAAATCACAGTCTCATTATTCTGTGGGTGAATGGGGAGGGGCTTGGAATTGTAGATCTGAATGGGCAGTAACTTGAAGTCAATGGAGATACATACAAAACAGAAGCACAATCATGATCCAGCAGTTCTGGAGCTGCTTTTTCTGCCTTTTTCTAAATGTCCAATAATAAGGTTCTAATGGAGACTGAAGATCCATCACCTGCTCCACATCTCCAGGGGACCCATGTGTGGATCACAGTGCCAGTTGTACATGCTTCCTTCCTCTCCCATGGCAAGGGTGACATTGAATGACGACAACTCACATGTGTAACCCAAGGGTTTTGCTACAGTTTACTGAGGACTACTGCACAATACATTCTTTGAGTGTTGTAATAACATTAAGTCAATGCATGGATTATAATCCCTATTTCACAAGTAGAAAAAACATACTCAAAGAAATTAAATTCCTTGCTCACCAAATAATTATTGACAAAAAATACAATATTTGTGTTTCTTTTGAAAAATATTATAAAGATTCTCAAATTGTCTAACCAATCATATTATCTCTATTTGTCTCTTCTCAAGCTGCTCTTAAAGACATATCCAATACTGGGAAATTTATAAAGGAAAAAGGTTTAATTGACTCGCCTCGGCATGGCTGTGAGGCCTCAGGAAACTTACAATCATGGAAGAAAGAGAAGAAAATATGTCCTTCTTCACGTGGCGGCAGAAAAGAGAGGTGGGAAAAAGGAGGGAAATGCCCCTTATAAAGCCATCAGATCTCATGAAAACTCACTATTACGAGAACAGCATGGAGGTAACTACTGCCATGATAAAATCACCTTCCACCAGGTCCCTCCCATGTCAGGTGGGGATTACGGGAACTACTGTTCAAGACGAGATTTGTGTGGAGACATAGCCAAACCATATCATTATCTTGATAAGATATTGCTTTGGACTGAATTGTGTCCCTGCAAAAATCTTATGTATAAAAGTTCTGATCCCTGATGTGACTGTTTTTGAAGACAGGCAGGGTCTTTAGTAGGCACTTAAGGTCAAATTAGGTCATAGGGTGGGACCTCAGTCTACTAGGACTGGTGACTTTATAAGGAAAGAAAGAGATGTGTCTCCCCTTGACCTCACTTGTACAAAGGCCACATGAGGGAAAAGCAGCCCAAGCCAGTAAGAGGCCCGCAACAAACACCAAAGCCTTCCAACCCTACGATCTTGGACTTCCCTGCCCCCAAAACTGTAACAAAATGAAATTCTGCTGTTGATGCCATCCAGTCTGTGGCATTTTGCTATGCCAGCCTGCACTGGCTAATGCAGATATTCAGAATCAAATGAGTCACCCCAAGCAATTTCTCAGTATACACAGCACAGATATCACCTTCTAAACTCATCCTTGTCTTTGTCATGTTTTTTTTTTCTTTTTTTTTTTTTTGAGATGGAGTCTCGCCCTGTTGCCCAGGTTGGAGTGTAGTGGTGCAATCTCTGCTCACTGCAGACTCTGCCTCCCAAGTTCACGCCATTCTCCTGCCTCAGCCTCCCAAGTAGCTGTCACTACAGGCGCCCACCACCATGCCTGACTAGTTGCTTTTTTTTTTTTTTTTTTTTTTTTGGCATTTTTAGTAGAGATGGGGTTTCACCACGTTAACCAGGATGGTCTCGATCTCCTGACCTCGTGATGTGTCTGCCTCGGCCTCCCAAAGTGCTGCTGGGATTACAGGCATGAGCCACCTCACCCTGCCAGTTTTTCTTAATTATTAAATAATCTTTCACTGATTTAAGAAATATTTTCATGAGGTTCCTATTCGGGCCCAGGCACTGTGTATGTGTGTGTGTGTGTGTGCTGGAGATAATGTGTTGATAAAAGCTGCTCAGCCTTATTTGTACACCATGATATTTATATTTGACAAATCCTCTACTTATGTGTGTATCACTTCCATAATTTTTTGGAACACATAAATTTTTTGAACAAAATGGAATCGATAAAGAGCTAGATATATACATATAATAAATATATTTGAAACTTTGTACTTTGTTTTACAATTTACAAAAGAACATCATATACAGTGTTCTATTTGAGTCTCTCTTAATCCCTATTAAGAAGAAATTTTTCTGTTTCTGTTGTTCAGTGAAGAAAATGGGCAACAAAAATGTGCAGCAACTTCCCAATATCCCATATTTACTAACATAAAGGAGTAGGACTTTAATGTAGATGCTTGGTGTCCAAGTTTGTGCTCTTTATGCTTCATGGCACCAGGTAAAGTGCAGTGAGCACAGCAAATGTGCCCCCTCAGGAGCCAGCTAAGACTTTCCTGGGGGCTTCTCCTGGAAGTACAGAGCCTGAGACCCCCATCCTAAATACACAAGCATTGGCATCACTGACTCACAGTGAAAAAAACAACAACAAAAAAACAAGAAACAAACAAACAAAAATAAATAAAAACAAAGGGGGGCAAAAAAACAAATAAAATCTGTTCAACAGAGTAATTTTACATAACACAAAAGAACTTCTGGGAAAAACACAGACTGCTTATTGAAATCAGAGGCTCAGTCATGTGAAAATAAAAGGTGTTGTTGGGCACCTAAGTCTTGTTGTTGCTAACAGCTGTTTTTGTGCAATACCAGTAAACCCAACCAAAGGCATTCTAGTGAGTGACTACAGGAAGACTCCGATACACTTCAATTTTCCAGCAATCCATAAAATTGAAACATAAAAATAGGATTCTATTTCCCTTGGTCATTCTGTATCTTACCAGTTCTTATAATATATTTGCATCAGTATAGAAACTCAAGGTTTACAAAGCACATTCATGGTCTTTATTTTATTTGATGCTCCACAAAATGTTGCGAGGGACTCTGATGAAGTCCTGTTTGTACTATGTTACAGGTGAGAATGTTGACATGTAGAGGGGCAAGTACTTACCTGATCACGTTGTCTTGGCATGATGAAGCCTCACTTAAACCCATGATCTCGTGTCTTCCCTTAAACTGATGCTCTGAAATACAGTCAAGTAAAGTAAAGAGTTAGGGGCACATTTTAAAATGCATTTAAGATGCATCAAATATTTAACCCAATTGCGTGTAAGATCTCTATTTGTCAAACTCATTGGTGATCATTGGCATTAGAGGGACCCAGGACAATTGCAAGATTCTAAATAATTTTCAAGCCATAGTAGAGGATACTTTGTTTACTGTTATTTATGTCGTAAATCTCTTTTAATATACTATAGCTTTATAAGAACAGATAATCCATTTTTGGAAAAAATTTGTGTTTTAACTGGCCAAAGAGTTAAATCCATTTTTCTAGATCTTGTGGATAATTAGGAATTAGTAGTAAAAATCAATTGCCCTTTTCCAATAAAATAATATGCTCAGTTGTTCAAACCCACATTCTTGATAAAAACAACCAGAAATTCTGGATAAGACAGAAGAAAAAGAAGATTTTTAAGCAACAAAGAGGATACAAGATGGTAAGGAATTATAAGACCAAAATCTAAGTGATGTCTTGATCCCAGAAAAGTAAGCTAAATGTTGAATTCCCTTTGGACCTTGGAGAGTACATGAAAGCAGTGAATTTGAGCTTCAGTTTTTCAGGCTCTATGGAGTGATATGGAAGAAGGAAAATCTGAAGTCCCCACCAACATGAATGTTATAATAGAAGACTTTCCCCCTATAAAATAAGACCTCCAAAGAGCTATAATTTCACAATAAGCATAAACCAAAAGTAAACCCACACTACCCCACTCCTGTTTCCATGTGTCAACAAGGAAGTGTTCACTGGTGCTGAACAAAGCATGGGGAAAATGCTGCTGTTTTGTAAATTACAATCTCAAAAGCTCAAGTTATAAATTTAGTTGAAAACAGTTCACAATACTGATAGAAACAAATGTGCAGTTCTTCCTCATCCTGAAAGAATTCTCACAATAATATTCCAAAGAAAATAATGCAGTCACATTATATGTATGTATCACCTATATGTATATAGCTGATACTTATGTATATATCTCACCATTACAGAGAACTAGAAGAAATAGTGGAGAAAGAAAGAGTTCTACAATGAGCCTAGATTTAAAAATAATCAGAGAAAAATTTTGTAAAACAACTCTTCTCATAATATACACAACTAGAGTAAACTTGAAACAATCTCAGCAAAAGAAAGCTGTTAAAAATGACCAGCATGGAATCTCTCTTCCCCACTGTCAGACAACATTTCAGTGGTCGCTGTAACTATTGCTCTGATCCTGAATAAAATATTTCTCACCATGCTTGAAAAAAAAAAAAGAATTGCAAAATATGCCTCCAACAAAGGACTAATATCAAGAATCTACAAGGACCTCAAATAATTCAAGAAGAAGAAAACAAACAACCCCATTAAAAACTCAGCAAAGGACATGAACAGACATTTAAAAAAAAATTCAAGCAGCCAATGAACACATGAAAAAATGCTCAGAATCACTAATCATTAGAGAAATGCCCAGTAAAACCACAATGAGATATCATCTTATATCACTCAGAATGGCTGTTATTAAAAAGTCAAAACAAAACAAAACAAAACAAAAATAGATGTTGACTTGGATGCAGAGTGTGCAGAGCAGAGAGAACGCTTGTAGACTTTTGGCGGGAACATAAATTAGTTCAACCTCTATGGAAAACAGTATGACGATTTCTCAAAGAACTGAAAACAGAACTACCATTTGCCCAGAAATATTCATAACTGGACACCTACCCAAAGGAAAACAAATCATTATATGATAATACCACGACAATAGCAAAGTCATGGAACCAACCTAAGTCCAACCTACGTGTCCATCAATAATTGATTGGATAAAGAAAATGTGATATGTATACACACTATGTAATACTACTCCACTATAAAAAAGAATGAAATCATGTTCATTGAGGCAACATGGATGGAGGTGGAGACCATTATTCTAAGTGAATTAACTCAGAAACAGAAAATAAAATACTGCAAGTTCTCACCTACAAGTGGGAGATAAATAATTGGTACCCATGTGCATAAAAATGGAAATAATAGACACTGAGGTTTCCCAAAGGGGAGAGGATGTGAGGGTTGAAAAACTACCTATTAGGTACCATATTCATTATTTGGGTAATAGGTGAACCAGAAGCCCAGTCCTCACCAGTATGCAATATACTCATGTAATGAACATTCACATGTACCCTTGGATCTAAAACAAAATAAATATTTTTTAAATGACTGGAATGTGTGAAAAAGGAAACAAAGAACATTTCTAAAGAAAGATGCAAAAAATAAATTTTTAAATGCTATAGCTGTTCACTGTTTTGAAATAGCTAAAGTAGGTATTAGTGAATCCAAAGATCAGTCAGAAGAAATTATGCAGAATGCATCACAGCAAAATACATAGGCAGTGAGACATTTTTACCATATTTTTACTTGGATTCCTAAACAAAGAGGAGAAAGAATATAGAACAGAGACAATATTTGTAAGTAATATTTTAAGATAATGACTGATTCCCTACATCAAGGGAAAGCCAGTGGGAAGTTCCTAAATCTACAGAGGTTAAACAAACATAAAACTACACTTGAACATGTCAGGATGAGTTGGATGAACCAAAAATAAAGGTAAAACCAAAGAAACAACCACACACATGCATAAATCCACAAGGTAGTGAATAAAACATCTTACTTTCAAGGTGGCAGAATGACATTGACCACCAGATTCTCAACAGAAATGATGAAAGACGGATGGCAGAAGAATGAGATCTCCAAAGTGCTATTAAAAAATAATTGCCAACCTAGAATTTCTAGGACCCACTTTTTAAGGGTAGGATGAAATGGAGACATTCTTGGGCAAACAAAAAAAGAGAGTTTATCTGTAGCATAACTTCAGAAAAGATATAATTAAATCAGAGAAAAAGATGAGGATCAAGAAGGTAGGAAACATGCAAAAATCATGACAAATAGTTTTTGCCATTAAGAAAAAAATGAAACTAATCAATTCCACAAAGCAAGTCAAGAATAACTCGTGAATTAGAGGGAGCAGAAATGGAGTCGCCATCTTCAAAGGTACTTGTTTTCAGGAAATGTATACAAATTTTGGAAAAACTTGTATTTGAAAAGTTAAGTATGCATTTCGCAATTTTCAGAGAATAAAAGGATAGCAGCAAAATACTTATAAACTAGGAAAGGAAGAATATTGAATAAGAAAATAATCTGTACCAAAAAAGCCACATTTAAGTACTATGTTTATTTTGTTAAATTAATTTAAATTTTAAAAATTTATCTTCACTCTATGCAATAATATTTGTGAAATTTTGACTCTGGTGTGTAAATTAACTTGTTTACTCCATTGAGTCCTTTGTCATTTTTGTAATACTTTGATTATCTTCATCTAAATATTCAAACATCACCTCTTAACACAACCGGTGGTACAGTCTCCATGATTTAGATACAGTGATCTGACTGGGGTTGAAACTTAAGAGAAACTAGCCTCAATAACAGGACCCAGGGATAACCATCTAGTTCTTCAGAGAAGGGCCTTAAGCCCTCTGGGGGTCCACCCTGTTGGCTGCTCACTAATCAAAGATGTGCCCTGCCCCTAGTTTTCTCCTCCCTGACTCAAGTTCATGTCATTCAACTCACTGCCCGGTTTACGGACTCATGGTGTTCTGCCCTGCTCGTGCTGATTGGCTGTCCACCAGTTACCAAAAGCTGAAGTTGATTCAATCACGTGAAATTTCTACAGACCCTCCCCCTCTTTGGGTTCCCATCACATTGTCACTACTGCCAGATGTCATCAGCTTGAGAGAATCAGTGGTGGTCCACAGGAGCATCTTGTTGTCCCTTCCTAAATGACACCAGGACCTCCCTCCTCCCAAAATCAGTGCTCCCAACCACATTACCCACCTTGGCTTCACTTGTGTTCCTAGCAAGCCATCAAAACTAGCACCAAGGCTCTCTCTAGGAAGCTATAAATATATATGTTTTCCTTTTTTTCTGTCTTTAAAGGGTGAGTTCACACAAACAGACCTACGTACACTGGATCCCAAGGTATCAATCTGGATCCCTTCACAGGATCCTTTGAAATTTTCCATTCATAGTACTGAGGGGAAAAAAGCAAACTCTGAAGCCCAGCCCTTCCCTCCTCTATTCTGGAGCAGGCAGTTGATGGGCTGCAAACGGGGCTGCTGAGCTTCAGGGTGGAAATGAAAGCCAGTGCCTTGTGCTCCTTGTGATGTGAAACCTGTTGAAGTTGCACAGAGAAATGAGAGTTTTCACTGGACACAGGGCAAAGAGCAAGCAGGATGCCTTTCATGGACAGAAGCAGCATCTGTCTAAACTTCAGCCATTCAATTAACAAACATTTCATGATCATCAGTTATTGCTATGAAAGGTAGATGGTAGATGCTGAGGGTTAAACAAGGAACAAGATGAGAATGCCTCACTCCCATATGGCACATATAAAAGCATAAAAGTCTTTATGAATCGTTTTTGAAACAGAAGGCCCATGACATTGTCTGCTGAGTCCACATTGCCCCTCGTTTGTGGATACCAGCACATCTTAAAATTATCTGAAATGTTCAGTTGTGAGCCCCCTCCCCATGATGTGATTAGGCTTTGTGTCCCCACCCGAATCTCATCTTGAATTGTAATCCCTATAATCCCTATTTGTCAAAGGAGAGACCAGGTGGAGGTAGTTGAATCATGGGAGTAGTTTCCCCCATGCTGTTCTCATAATAGTGAGTGAGTTCTCACAAGATCTGATGGTTTTATAAGGAGCTCCTTCCCCTTTGCTTGGCACTTATCCTTCCTGCCGCCTTGTGAAGAACGTGCCTTGCTTCCCCTTCACCTTCCACCATGATTGTAAGTTTCCTGAGGCCTCCCCAGCCATGTTGGACTGTGAGTCAATTGAAACCGTTTCTCTTATAAATTACCCTGTCTCAGGCAGTTCTTTATTGCAGTATGAAAATGGACTAATACAGTGAGAAAAAATAGCTCTGGAGGGCTGGGTTA